CACATGAATAAATTTGCGCTTTTCTTATTGTATGAGAATCGAACCAATTGTAGTTTCCATCGTATTCAAATAACCGAACCACATCATTTGTAATAAAGTTTCCTGAGCTGACCGATATCCTTTTGCGTGAACAGTGCGAAACCTCTGGCGGATGCTGGTATAAACACAAGCTCGATGAGGCCGTGTATTCTCCCAACTAAGGTTTCCGAAAATCCATCCCACGAGCCATAAATTTTCCATGCTCTTAAGAAACTAAAAGTAGCAACAGTGGCAGTGTCATTGTGATAACAGCACTGCAACGAGATAAATAAAGAAACACAGGTTTTATTGAGTTAGATGGTAGCGAATCCAAGTGCTGTGTGAAAGTCGATGCATACGAAATATTCATTTACCCATTGGGTGAAATGAGTGATATGGCAATGCTGCACTTAAACTAAAGAAGTTTTTCTCCATTAAAATCCCTCCGGCTTTGGACTAACTTGAATCAGATTACTATAAACTCACTCGTTTTCCGTTTGACCGGCTCGACGACGATAGCCTCTGCCCTTGCACTCTCTGAGGTAAGGAATAACTTGCAGTGAAACTGCCCGATGACTTCTTGGCGAAAAAACATCGTGCCTCGTGATACAGCTGATTCTTTCGTAAAAAGTTCGCTTTTGGTCTGCTAAAGGAATTACTTTACAGCCACGAAACTCTAGAGCTCTGAGAAAGGGGAACCTTCGCCGCACTTAGTGCGAAGGAATGAAATGTTATGGTAACAGAAACGAACACACTACCCATTCTTAACATAGATTTCGCTATAGAAAACAAATCACAAACGCAACAAACTAAATATTCAGTCACGGGAATTTTTTGTTCTAGTCTTGACCTGAAACCGTAGGCGACAAACCAACTTAGTCAGTCTTCGTAGAAATCTTCGTTTGATTCACACGGTTCTCCTTCGTAGGGCTGAACCGTGCTCGCAACTTCCATTTCTTCTTTGCTACTTGAGTAGGATGTATAACAACCCTCGGCAGAGCTTGCTGAAGGTAAGTATGCATCGCTATCAGTCATCATTTCAAGAGTATTTCAACGCTGATTGATACAAAATTACAAGAGATGTAAGAGATTTGTAAGCGTCAACTAAGTTTCACAGTTTTCTACTTTATCACCCGTTAATTCGTTACCAGTCCACCGGACACTTTAAAGACAAAATAAGAGCACTTTAGGGCCTGAAAAAACCGTGTTTTAGGCTTTTTGAAATTTTTCTTCTATCGGAAATGGCTTTTACATATGATAAGCGAAATATTTACGCAAAAAAAATTTCGTGTCATTGGCACTTTGAAGCTTGAGTGTTTATGGTAAAGATACTGAAGACAAGTTACTAGGCACATAATGGTATTATTCACTCCAAAGGTGTGTGAACTTAAGAATTCGTAATTCAAATGTATAACTACTATAAAACGTTTCAGCTGAGCGTTTTGTATAATATTTTCTTTGCCCTGATCTGCCAGTTAATTAAAACTCTTAGCCCCTCTTACTATTTTCCCCTTCAAAATGTTTAAATGGCTAGAACTAAACTGTTTGTTAAAGCGAGAAGCTATGGAAAACTTCTGCTTCTTTGTTGTAAGTTTATATACCTTGTACTGTTTGTTCATTCCAATGAACAATGTCTGATCAGGAATTCGGTGAAGTGTAGGGTTAAATTTTAGCATATAACTTGATTAAATAGAAATCGAAAAAAAAAATTTTGTGGCTGTGATCTCTTCGTTCTTTTCCGAGCGACTGCCGAATTTTTAACGCAGATTTCTTCACTGCTGCTCATTTGGGTGCATGTATAACTTCTCTCTCCTTCCTTCTTTCCCCCCTCTCCCTTCGCATCTAACCTGTTCCCGGATTTTTTTTCTCTCTTAACCATGAGATGTTTACAAACCCAACCCTACTAAGGCCCTCAAAGACGAATGGGCTCATAATTAGAACTTTTTACCCAAAAGGTATCGTCACCTTTCTATTTAATCGCCTAGCTTAGAAAAATCATTTTAGTTTCCAACATAGCTGAGACTTTGAGATACTTGAAGCGGTGTTTAATAATTGCATCGTTAAAACATTTAACATTCTGAAAATTCATTCTTTAGGTCTTGATCAGCATCTACTGTAATATATCGTCAAATGAACTAAAAATTCGTTCTTGCCAGTGATACAATCTAATTTCTAATTCCATTAAGAAAGACTTAAAAATTATTAATTTTGGTAAAATCGATTGAAACTGTCGAGAAAGCGAGAACAGCGACCGCTGTCGTTTTCGTGCGCTTTTTGAAATCAAACGCTGGCTTCATTTGCTTGCGGCGTTCACTGGTAACAAAAACAGAATGTCGAATTATTCTGCTCATATGATAACACTGGTAGATGTAGCAAAAGTAACAAGCTTGCTACTCTGAATTGAGGTAGATTTAGCTTTCTCAACTTGTTCGACCACCGATGATGTCGAAAACTGACAGCCACGTTGCCCTTCTAGAACTAATGAAGGTGGACAAGTCTGGTGATGACTTTTCTCTGGGGTTGCAGCGTTGCCGACAAAATAGGTTGGTTGAGTGCTATGTTGGAAAGTTTAGCCGCCTCATAACAACTTGAAAGCGTAAATTTGCATATATAAACATCAATGAAATTAGAACGATTCCTAAAAAAAATCAATAGGTAAACAAGCTTAATGCTCAAACCTAATGCTAAACCAATGGAAAGTTGGTGGTGCCGACGAAAACTTGATTGGTTGGCTTAAAACATACGTGGCACGAGCTTTGACCCTTATGGGTTGAGGTCTAAACTAAACTACTGATAGTACAAAATACAAGAAAAGTAGGCATAAACTTACATAATAACCCCTCTTTGGCGATTGTTCCTAATCCTCCTTCCTTGGAACAAATTAACCAGCGGAGAAAACGCCTAGTCCCTTCGGGTTCACAGGATTAAAGCTAACTAATTGAAATGCAGTTTCCGTAATGTGCACAAAGCCTTAGCTACAAATTTCTGGGAATTCTATCCACCAATCCATTATTAAACAGTATTATCTAGATTTATATATTGTTTTGGCAAGTTCCACTTATAGGCAAAGTTAACTGTAACAAGAATTTCGCTTACGTCAATTGAAAATATTCCAGGAATTAATCCTACTGTGTAGCATTAATGTACAGTCAGAAACACTACACCATGAAGCTTCTGTTGCCAGGAGCATGGCTGGTTCTTAACCAACTTGGCTGGTTTCTCTGCAACCAGTGCAGAGAAAGTTCGTAACGAAGAGTGGAATTTTGCTGCATTTGGCTGGACAATGTGTTTATGAAATAAAAGATATGCTTATTGTTCATCGTGGTGTAAGATAGGAGATGAACTTTGTTCGTTCTTTTGACGTAGAATCTTTGTTTGCAAACGTACCGATCGAGCCGCATTACGAAAACTAGAGAACGACAGCGATCTTGCTAACCGCACGAACTTAACACCTACACAAATTGCCGACCTCTTGAATTTCGTCTTCAGATCGACATATTTCCAATACAACGGGTCGAATTACGAACAGCAAGACGGAGCAGCTATGGGAAGCCCTGTTTCTCTGGTTATAGCCAACATCTATACGGAAGAATTTGAGGAACAAGCGATAAGAAATGCGACTTGTAAACCTAAGATCTGGAAACGATATGTAGATGACACTTTCACAGTCTTAGACTAGGACCATGTCGACGGCTTTTTACAACATCAAACAGTCAACAGCCTACCATTCGTTTTACCATGGAAGTCGAGGAAGATAACATCATTCCTTTTCTCGACACAACAGTTACAAGGGACTCAGACGGTCTTCTCACCACCACTGTCTACAGAAAGCCCACCCACACTGATCAGAATTAAGCTTATGATTCACATCACCCTCAGTCAGTGAAGCGTGGTATTGTTTATTGTCTATACGATCGAGCCAAACACCTCACAACGAAACCGTCAGTTGTCTCTGAGGAAAAAGAAACACTTGTCATCAGTACTTGTTTCTAATGGTTATGCTTCTTCATTTGTACGAGAACTCGCAAAGACAACAAGGGTGAGAGCCTACAAAGAACCCGCGCAGGAATTTAAATCTACTGCCGTTCTCCCTTACATAAAGGGTGTATCAAGGGTTCTTCGCCGCTGCCTACAACATCAAGGCATACGAACCGTTTTCAAATCGGACACAACACTTAGGTCTCATTAGTACGACCTAAAGACTCCCTGGAACCATCAAAACAAGACGGTGTCGCTTACAAGATTTCATGCGAATGCGGCAAAGTGTACAGCGGTGAAACTGGGAGATCTATGCGAGAAAGGATAAAAGAACATGACAGAAACATACGGTTTGCTCGTACTCAGACCTCTGCGGTTTCGGAGCACGCTAACGAAACGGGGCTTATTCCTATTAGGAGCAAGATTAAGTTTATTGATCGTGACCCCCACTGGTACACACGTAGGGTGAAAGAGGCTATCCATATAAGACTTCATCCCAATGACATTAATAGGGATAGCGGTATCGACATTTCCGAAGCTTGGATACCCACGATCAAACAACACAACAGCCGATTTACGAGGACCTATGAGGGAACACCATCAAACGACCGGAATATTAATGAGGATCGAAATGTACCAATGACAGCGTACCAACGTGCCACAATAGCGACACGTAAACAATCGACCTCATCGCCTGATGAAGACTAGCAGTATTGCAGTCGAAACGTCGTGATCTACATCATAAGTGACCCTATCGTGAGACAAACGAACAAAGTTCATCTCCTAATGTGATTATGGTTGTTGTCAACGCGCTTTGTGCCTTGTCTTTGTCGGATCAGTGGTGGGAAACTAGTGTTATTATTCTATCAAGCAGGTTAAAAATTTTGAGACTCCTATTAACTGATATTTTCTTGGCCGTCTTTACTTTCACTGAAGTGGAGTGCGTTGTCTAACGATGTCGGCTGTGCACAAATATCCTAATTTTTTATTCCTTTGTCTTAAGTTTAATTTTCCTTTTGCCAGCTTCTTCGCTGTGAGTCTTTTGAGGCTTTCCATTTGGTACCAGCAGAATTCAGGTACGGACCCAGTACCCAAATAAAGGGCTTGTGCTCTTCCTTATTCTTACAGCGGTCCATGTTTTCATCCGTGCACTTGGTGCACACGGACTGTAGTGTATCACCAAGCCATTCATGGGCAAATGAGCAACGACTTACTTCATCTTCTGTTAGTGTACGTCTAGAATCGTGCTTAGAACATGCATTTGATTTCCTTGCCCCAATAACAAAAGCTCCATGGTGGAGTTTGCCATGTGTGTCCACTCTTTGAGGATGAAATTGTCTTTTCCGTTCACTACCCGGTTGAGTCCCGATTACGCTCCTGAAGATAGGTTTTGATGGAACATCTCGGCCCGCGGCGACTTCACAATATTGATCTCTTGCGACTTCATTCGTTGTCTCAGCTTTTAATGGAAAATCTGTGCTACTGAGTACATCGCAGTATGTCTTTCCAGGACTTGGCTTTGATAATGTCCTGATAGAAGTATTCGAAGATGAATGGCTTGTCTGAGTAAAGCTTGTAAGGTGAGGTATTGCTGTCTGGAAGGGAGTTTGCCTGATCAGGTTGCCTGATGATTTTGGCTTACCTCGACCGAGATGAGAATGGGTGGTGCCAGCCTTGTTATTAGAAATCGAAGCTCCTGGTAATGGATAATCTTTAGCGACTGAAGTGCTCTCCTTTAAATTGCTTTCTTGACAAATGAAGGCATAGTTATCGTTATCAACTGGGTCGTAGGCGTACGGGCCAGCAACAGAGAAGCCAACGTAGAACCATAAATCATCTTTGCTTTGGTGAGGGTATAAGGTGTTGTCAAAATGAATCTGAATGCCCTGATACGTGATGACACCCTTCAGTGATGCCTCCTTTTGACCCCGCAAGCGTTCTAATTTCGTAGAGGTTTCCTTGCTTCTCCAGAATTCAGTTTTAGTTTTCCATTTGGTTGCAGGCAATCGAAACTCTTGACTGCTCACAAGAGCATCCAGTCCACGACCTTTACCCAGGAAATACTCAGCACCAGACTTTCGAAAACCGGTTCCTGTTTTCTCGGTGACGATTCGAACGCAACTCTTTATGGATTCTTTAGTGCTTGGATTGTGGGGAGCCAGGCTTTTGTCAGGTACGGGGAAGTGCACCATGTAATTGAAAAGATGAGCCCATTCCGATTTTGGATACTTTGACACCCATATGTTTACGATTTTCTCTAACTCCGTAACCGGTGGCCTCTCATTAAGTTTCAGACAGGCTTTTGAGAGAATAAGCATGTCGTTGTGGCTTCCATTCCTACCAAGGCAGACAGGCTTGAGGTAGTTGTATATTGATCGCACTTCTTCGCCTGTTAGATTTGACCAGGTACTGTAAGGTGTCTCGTCTCGCATAAAAAGAATGTCTTTGACAAACTGCTGCTGATAATGAGCTTGTTGTTTCTGTGGTGCGGCTAAAAGCTGGGTCGGACTTTGACCACCATTAAGCTGCTGCTTTTCATTACCAATTATTTTGTAGAAGGCTCCGCGGAGTTTTGAAGCCCTGATTTTCGCGTTTGTTAGACTTCGTACCCCATATTCATCATAGGTCGTGGCTTGCCCAAGCTTCACATTTGCAAAAAGCTCGTTAAATACGTTAATGGTAGTGGAAGTGAGGCCCTTTACGTAGTCTTGCTCCTCTTGGGACAGTTGAGGAAGCGCACTTGCCATTTCCCAGGGGACCTCGTCTGTTTCCTCATCCACTGGACTGAAGCACGACGAGTTCTTTAAGAGGTAAAGTAAATGAAGTATAGCCTGGATTTTTCCAATCATGGGATAATGATTAAAGCCATGTGTGGTATTAATTGCTTTGTCGTAAACCACGAAAGCTTTCCCACAAATTTCGATCAATTTTGATAAGGAACTGGGCCAGTTATCACGCACGTCTTGCTTCCTTAGCTGCAAACGGTAAAGATCACCTTTGGTTACATAGTGATGACTGTAGTTGGGATGAAGACTTATTGCAATATCAATTGCAATGTGTGCGGCCTCAATACCGGTTTTTAGTATGAGGAGCTCCTCATGTCCTCTGGTAGATGTCATGGCACTGTTAAGGCGGTCACAGAGGTCATCGAGTTTACTCACTTCCTTATCAAACATTTCGTAACCCATGAACCTTGCCAACTGTTGCCATGCATATGCTTTGTCTTCTGGCTGCATTGCTTTATCACAGGTAGCGATCAGTACCCTTAGAGCCCCTAAAATATTTCCTTCGTCCACAATGTCGACGATTAAGGGCGAATATCTGGTAAGTACTTCGTAGGAACCAAAAACATCATTTTCTAAATCAGTACTGTCGTCCATCCCTTGATCTTCAAGAAACTTTGGGTCTGATATTCTCTTTCGATCCAAAATAATCCTAAAGAGTTGTCGACGCAAGATCTTTACCACATACGACTGACAGGCGCAGACCTGCTCCAGGAGGTAGACTGCTGTGTTCTCTTTGCTTATATTTGAAGTGATAACTTCACTAACAAGGTAGTGAGCTGGTCGCCAGCCGTATAAACCACTGTTTTCGTCTTGTTCTTCAAGAAGAAGTCCTCCAAATATGTCATGGACTTCTTGAAAACCATAGCAATGTTTCTTCTTCTGCCAGGAACTTGTGTACTGAATGAACTCTAGAAGTACTGCATGGGGCAGGATGATACACCCAGCACTGTACTTGCTTAAAAAACAGCAGGCTTCCAACAATGATTTGTGTATCTCCTTAGCATCCTCAAGAAAGGAATGAAGGATACTTTCAATGTAAATCTGTGGGCGTTCCTCGATCTTACGATAATCCCTTCCAAAAAGCTTCAGCCCGAACAAGATAAATTGCTTTTCCCTCTCTAGGACCTGTTCCGCCTCCTTTCTCTTTCCAGCATCAGTTTTTATGTTGAGCAAGATATCCTTCACCAGCCTTGTCTCAATCTCGTCTAGCTTCCCGAGTGGTGATATTTCAAAACTCGCATCTTTTACTAGCTTTGCAATGGGATAAGTGGTGAGAACGACACATTTTGTTCCTCTTTTAATCACGCGTTCTGTCACTTGACGAATATCATTTTCTAGGAAGTTGTCAATGAGTACCAGGACTGGAAGTGCGTGGCTTAAATTGTTTTCACCGTATAGGATGGTTTGAAGTTGCTCTATTTGATAATCTGTAGATGAAGTAATGGCTTTTACCACAGCACAACGGTATTCGTTCCGCTTCTTCCAAAGGATCATGCGACACAGGGTAGTCGCACCAAAACCAGGTTTATAAGGGACAGTGACGGTTTTAACTGTACAGCTGTCATCGTTGCTCTCTTTCATTAAACACTTCAACGCCCGTTCTACCTTGACGATTATCTCCCTCTCTAGGGTTCTTTGAATACCGTGGTTGTGTAATAGATTCATTTGAGTAGCCTGAGCACCTCTGTAAAAAGCATTCCGTTCTTTCTCAATGTCAACTGCCGACCTAGGCAAAGTGGGACTTGGACTATACACCTCTAGATCATTCCAGGAGTTGACAATTTTGCTAGAAACCCCCTTTAGCTTTCCAGTAAAGAATGGCAGCTCCGTCACTGGTCCTCGTTCTGTGAAATTGGATGGTCCCACCATTTCACGAACAAGCTCCCTTAAAAGATTCCAGGATATGTCACTAATGGAGCATTCCCTGAGCTCTCTTTGTAGGAGAAACTTTGAGGCTTTGATAAATGCCTCTCCCACTGGTTTGGTCTCGCTGAGGATGGTAACACAGCTAGTTGCGAACTGTCCAAGAATACTGAAACTGCTTTCCATTATATCAGCCATTTCAGGAACAGAGCTTTCACTGAGACAGAGGAACACGCACACTAGATACCCAGGAGGATAGCATTGCTTATAGGCAGACATGGCGCGATAAAGATAGTCCTTGGAACATTTTATCCAATCTCCTTCTCGCATTTCGTCATTGCTCAAAATCCAGGTCGTCTGTCGAACTGAGAGATCCTTATCAAATGTAAGGTCCTTGAAATCATCAAGAGTTCGAATCTTTGCTCTTGGGGCAGCACTTGTTTCGTTGCAGGCGTAGTGCAGACCATCTTTCTTTGAGTTTGGATCAAATAAATCAAAAACTGCTAACCAAGGAATGTTTTGCAGGAAAGACAGAGTTGCTGTATTTCTGTACTTGGCGGGTAATTTATTGGCAACCAGAATGAAGCCATATTCTTTGTGATCTAGTCCTCGCAATCTTTTATTTATGATCGTACTGAGTCTTTTGGCATCGGCATCATCTAGGCTGATATCTATAGTTGAATGATAAAGAGTAATTCTCGGGGGAAATCTAAATGTACAAAGTGTTGCACGTTTGGGCGTCATCGACTATTCCGTGTGGCGATAATTATCTAATTATCATCTCTCAGGAATAGATGATCGATAGAGGATCTAAGAAGCAGGCAGAGTAAGAACCAAGAAATATTCAAAATGATGAACCTACCTTCCGACAATTCTCCATCACCTGAAAAGGAATTGAAAACTTTCATAAATGCAAGAACGTATTATTCTAAATTTATATTGATTTTTACCCCTCTTTTATTACCTCATTCCAAAGAGCATGACAACTATCAAATGAACCCAGGGGTAACTGCAGTACAATTACGGAGTAATTAATTTAAAGGTGGCTTTTGTAAAACTTGCCATCCTGCTTACTAACCATACATTTCCATCCGCTTTCTCCGCTCTTTGTACTTCACTTCAAGAGGTTTCTTCACTTGTCTGTCCACTTCATGTTTCTTTACGCAAATAGTTGACCCATTGGTACGAACCGCTGCGTCCTCATAATCATCCTTTACTGAAAATAGCTCATTTAAGGCCTTTTTTCTAGCACCATCTTTAGCTCCACGCTTCTCGGACCAGCGTTTGGAGTAATAAACTTTGTCTTCGCAGAATCCCCAATCTCTTTTTATCTCTATCTCTACAACGTATAGATTGACGTGATTACCTTGGCTTGTTACGGGGACAAACTGCAAGTTAACACAGTTCTGTTCTCCTCCTTTTTGTAAACTTCCGGCATCACTTCCGATGTGATCATCAAGAAGAGACTGAAAGGCTTTATTGATGTCATCTTTGTAATCATCAACCATAAGCCCCAATATTTCTCCGTGCTTGTACTTTGAGTTCTGCTCCTGGCTATCGCCAACTCCGAAGTAGATGATGCCTGCCCTGTCGGCATTTAGACAGCCACATATGAACTTTTTGGCTTTTTCCATAATTTTCCATGGAAGAGTACAAGAGTCAGCATTCGAGAGCGATTTAAATTCGACATCTCTGTTTTCTTCAACTTCTAAAGTAGAACCTTTTTCATATGAATGGTCTCTTCCTGGGGTTCCATGAAGCCTCGGAGTACCTGCGAAGACAACAGTTGTTGTGGATTAAAAAATAAGTCTGCAGTGGGTACAGATACAGATCCAAAGTTTACACGTATGAATTTAATTTAGCTTAACTACATAAAAAGCTTTCTCTCTTAAACATAATTAAAGCGCTATATGTATCGTCTCGAGAAAGACTGGATTTCAAATAGCAGTGCCAGTGGTTGAACTCTTGTGCCTATAGCAATTCTGCACTGTGGTCTACAAGAAACCATTTCCTCTTTTTTTGTCAACGTCTACGACATGATTTAAATGGAGCAGCTCTTTTTGGGGCCAAGCTCGACATAATATTCAAGTGAAATAAATAGAGGGGGTAAACTAAAGTGCTGCGTCGGTGGGGGAGTATAACAAGATACTTTAGTTTTATCGACTGAACTAATAATGTAAATTGGTCACCGATAGAGTTTTTAAAGTTGACGTTTCGAACGTTAGTCCTTCGTCAAAGCGGATGTCGAAGGGATAAGGCTCCAAACATCAGCTTTAGAAACTCTTTATGGTGGCCAATCTGCATGGTAGACCTAGTTGATAACACCAAATTACCATAATACTCACGTAACTTCGTTGGTTCTTTCGATGTTTCTATTATTTGGCTGCTACCTTATCGCTTTTTAAATAGTTTGTCTTCTTTCTCTTTGTTTTTGACTATTACGCAAAATTTCATTCGTATCATGATTAAACCATATTAAATCACCGTTATATTCAGTTGGATTTCTTAAAAGTATTTGGGATTCTATTTCAAGGTGCAAAATACTTCCTGCGGATAGGATAGTCTTAATCACTTGAGGTGTGCACGAAAGATGAAAACAGCTCAGACTAAACGATCAATGTTTCCTCTATAGCGCACAAATGATATGTTTCGCCATGAATTCATACCTTAAAAGATTCAAGCCTCAAGGACATAGAAAATTAACTAAATCTTTTTAGTCGACAGCATGAGTTCATTCACAGCGCTTACATTAATTTGATGAACAATCCACAAAAGCATCACGGGATGATGCGAGGAAAAATATTCGTTCATGTTATTTATATATCTACTCACATCTTGTATCTTTCGAGGGAACACTTTCTACATCTATCCGTTTATCTCTCATCTGGGTCACGCAGCAAGGCCTTTCCTCCAAGTTCATGGACGGTGCGTCTAGAAGTGAATGATCCATATGAGGTTCTGTCAAATTATCAGGGGGTAATTCTTTAACACTCTCTTCTAAGCAGTCCATCCTATCTTCCTCGAATTCCCTCTTTTCTCCCACCCAAACTTCGGGATCGGAAGAGCGAGCTTGATCGTGATCCTTTGCTAGAGCGTCTACCACAATTCTACAAGACCCTTCTTCTGTGTTTCTTCTTTCCTCAGACTTGCAGCCATTCGAGACACCCCTGACTAAAAATGAATAACATGGAAGTTTCGTTTGGTCAGCTCGATATCTGTGTCTACCTCCATACATTGAAATTTCATCATAAGGACCGCAGGGTCCGGTAGGGTGATTGTTCGAAAACAAGAGACGGAGACTTAGATAATGTACGTCCGTAAATGATGTAGCCTCAGTGAAAGAATCGATGATGGGCCGGTTATTGTTCTCGTTATATCGTATGATCTTTAATGAGATATCTAGCAATTCAATTACTATATCAGATTTAGCCCCTTACTGTTGAAAATCTAATTTCCTTTTCTTTGGCGAACTTTTCAAAAACCTTTGTCAAGGCAATTGAGACACATGCAGCTGTTGTGATTTATCTTAACTGACTAGGCTGATTGCGAGGATCTAAAACTTGTTTAATGGTGCAACCTAGCCCATACAGTGTTGAAAATATTTTCTGGTAATTATACTAACAGCAAACAGATCACAACACTTATTTGAGGCTCATGAATCAAGCAGCAAGCGGGGATAACTTACTTTAGAGGTGTCAAATTAGCATCAAGCATAGGTAATAACATTATTTCGAGTGCAATTTGGTGTAAATGAGCACGAGTAATTTTTTCAAAGACAACAAAATTGCACAAGCCCGTAAGGTAAATGCAGTTTGTAATCTTTGAAAATTTACCAATGCTTTTTTAGACCAAATTTCAATCGAAATCATGTTATTACTTCTTAATAATATACATGAAAAAACACCGCAGAAAGTCAGAACAGACGAAATTTTGAAGGCGTGCGCGCGCTATTTGTAATTTGCACACGTGTTACAACTTTACCCTCGTGTTACAATTTTGCACTCGTGTCACATTAAAATGCACTCGTTTTTAGCAATCAGAAGCGCGTATTTTTTTTTTCATGTTCATTATTAAATCGGTATATGGTTCTCAATGATATACATAAAAAAAAATTACGCGTAATTACTCGTAAAATTTGGTGCAATTGTTCATGCTGTTGAATGTTAATACATAGACAAATAGCGTTATTGAAAGTTCGTTCACGTTCATGAAGTTCATGGAAGTGCTAATGAATGTATATTTGCCGTATAGTAAATGACTTCTGCCATTATCACCTATTTCCCCAACTTCAGAATTAATCGACGTATTGCTGGAATTTTTATTGCTGTCATCCTTTACGAAAACTAAATTAGACGAAATGGAGATTAGTCAAGCAGAAAAGCTGCGTGAGCTATATATATCACCCCAGTCTTTCATCTGAAATGTAACAGCTTACTCTGAATGGTTTTAAATCTTGTGATCAATGCCAGGAAACCACAATTTAGCTTTCCATCATTAGTATCAAAGGTGCAAAATTTGAAAATAATGGCAAAAATACTTGTTTATGCTGTTAATCAATTTGACACCGCTAGGCATCAGAGGAAACGAGATATCGAAGATTTCAGAACAGCAAGCGATCACCAGTACTTGGTGAAAATTATTTGTTAGTCGATCGATGATTCCTTCCATGGAAACTTCCCACTTCACTTTAGTTAGGGAGACCAGAAAACAATAAAAGATTTGGAAGAAACTGACCTTACAAGGCTTCAAATTAAGTCGTGATGTCCTCAACTCCATGTTATAATGCTTACCTGTCAAACTTCTGCTGGGCGCGTCTCGCTCCATGGCTAAATTGCTTTTTTCATCTTTTTCCAATTGATCAGATTCGTTTGTCTTTATACATTGGGCACTGGTTGGATCTTGTGTTTCCAAGGCTGGCCTTGGGTCTTTCTGTTTGCCATCGTTGTCTGAGCAAATGTTCAAGTTTTCTACGGGCGAAAGTCCTTCACTTGTCAATGGCTCTTTTATCTCGTTACAGATATTGAAGAGCACGTCTGTTTCATGGTTTGGTTTTTCGTCGCAACTGTAGCACCTCGCGACTTTTCGCTCCCTCGATACGTTCTCTTCATTTATGGCTTTGCTGTCCGTGTTATCTATGCAAAAAAGGGGAAATTAAGTATTATTGAGTAAAGTATACAAGCCCACGTGGTCTCTTGATATCAGTGAATCATTCTTACACGGGTGACCGTCTGTTAAGACGTCTGAAACATCGTAAAAAGCCTCTCACAAGAAGACTCCGGAATTTTTATAGTTGTCATCCTTTATTAAATCTATGTCAGACGAAAAGTAGATTAGTCGAGTAGAAAAGCCGCGTAAGCTATAAATCTCACCCCAATTTTTTATTACAATTTTGTAACAGCTTACTCTGAATGGTTTTGAATCATGCGATCAATACCATGAAACCACAATTTAGCTTTCTATCATTGTTAAAAGATGCAAAATTGTAAATAATGACAGAAATACTTATCTACGCTGTTTATCAATTTGACACCGCCATACATCAGAGGAAACAAGATTGCTGGGCTCGTCCTTTCCAGGAAAGTCTTCGCGTATGGAGCCAATGCAAAATTGTCACCCTTTGTGCGACTTTACAGAGAGATTTTCAATAGTCACAAAAACGAAATAAGCTCCACATGATATCAACGATTGCAGAAAAGCAAGCGATCACTGGTACTTGGTGAAGATTATTTGTTAGTCGATCGATGGTTCCTTCCATGGAAACGTCCCACTTCAAGTTAATTGGGGAGACCAGAAAACAATAAAAGATTCGCAAGAAACTGACCTTACATGGCTTAAAAATTAAGTAGTTATGTCCTCAACTCCATGTTACAATGCTTACCTGTCAAACATCTGCTGGGCGCGTCTCGGTCCACGGCTAAAATGCTTGTTTCATCTTTTGCCAATGGATCAGATTCGTTTGCCTTTACACATTGGGTACTGGTTGGATCTTGTGTTTCCAAGGCTGGCTTTGCGTCCTTCTGTTTGCCATCGTAATCTGAGCAAATGTTCAAGTTTGCTATGGACGAATGTCCTTCACTTGTCAATGGCTCTTTTATCGCGTTACAGATGTTGAAGGGCACGTCTGTTTCATGGTTTGGTTTTTCGTCGCAACTGTAGCACCTCGCGACTTCTCGCTCCTTCGATACGTTCTCTTCATTTATGGCTTTGCTGTCCGTGTTATTCGTGCAAAAAAGGCTGGTTGGATCTTGTGTTTCCAATTCTGGCCTTGCGTCTTTCTGTTTGCCATCGTAATCTGAGCAAATGTTCAAGTTTTCTATGGGGAGACCAGAAAACAATAAAAGATTCGCAAGAAACTGACCTTACATGGCTTAAAAATTAAGTAGTTATGTCCTCAACTCCATGTTACAATGCTTACCTGTCAAACCTCTGCTGGGCGCGTCTCGTTCCACGGCTAAAATGCTTGTTTCATCTTTTGCCAATGGATCAGATTCGTTTGTCTTTACACTTTGGGTACTGGTTGGATCTTGTGTTTCCAAGGCTGGCTTTGCGTCCTTCTGTTTGCCATCGTAATCTGAGCAAATATTCAAGTTTTCTATGGACGAATATCCTTCACTTGTCAATGGCTCTTTTATCG